TACCACAGTTTGTTTATCCATTCTTCCACTGATGGGCACTTAGGCTGTCTCCATCTTTTTGCTATTGTAAATAGTGCTGCTATGAACATTGGTGTGTATATATCTACTCGTGTTATGGCTCATATTTCTTTTGTATAAATACCAAGTAGAGGAATTGCTGGATCATAAGGTATTTCTATTTCCAGCCTTCTGAGGCATCGATATATTGCTTTCCAGAGAGGTTGACCATTTTGCAGTCCCATCAGCAATGCAGGAGTGTCCTCTTATTGGTTAATTCAGAGTAAGTTCACTCTTCTTATTGGTTAACTCAGAGTAAGTTTCACAGGTGTTATCTGTCTCTCTGGTGTATGGCAGTTGTTTTGGGTTCTTGCCTGGGTTGTGGTGTTTTATAGAGTGTGATTGTAGCTTGACTATATGGCAACAGATGCTGTCTCTTCTTGGGTAATATAGGGAGAGAAAGAGTCCCCCAAAGTTAGAAGGGATAGCATAAAACAGCAAAACAGCACCAGCAAAAAAAAAAAAACCAAGAAAACAACCCCCCTAAAAAACAACAACAACAACAACAAAATCTAGACTAAATACTGTAGTCTACAATTGCAGAAAAGGGAGAGGAGCAAGAGAAGAAAAAAAATTAAAATCTGTGGCTCTGGTAGCCTAGTGGTTATGAATTGGGCTGCGAACCGCAAGGTCAGCAGTTCGAAACCACCAACCGTCCCACTGGAGAAAGATGAGACGTTCTGCTCCCACAAATTTCCACAGCCTCGAAAACCCCATACAGGGTCGGTATGAATCAGAACCAACTCCACGGCACGCAGCCAGCCACCAATATGAGTATGAATTTAATATCCTCTCTCCAGCTTTTTGCCTTCAAAGCTGCCTGAGAGATTTCAAGATGCCACTGTTGGTTGTTATACTATACCTCAAGATTTAATTTAATTTTCATCCTGCTTTGTTTTTAAACCCTCTTTCTCTCTCTACAGCCCTGTCCTGGCCTTTCCTGTATTTAAAACAAAACAAAACAAAAAAACCAGTTCTGGGCAAGTTCTTGGGCTGAGTATCTGTGCGCATGCATGGGAGAAGAACCCACCAGTGGTGAGGGTGGGGGATGTCCACTAGTTCAGGCACCCTCCCCACCTCTAGTCACCAGAATGGAGGTGCAAAAACAGTGTGTGTGTGTGGGGGTGTCAATGAGCAGATACAAAAAAAATAATAAAGAAAATCAGAACAAAGCACAACCGACAAAGAATATTGTCCACTTTTGGTCTGAGGTTCCCGTGGCGTTTTTCATGGTGTTTCTGCTCCCCTCTTGGTTTTGCTATTTGGTCTCGCCCAAAGTTGTTGGCTCTTGGCCTCTGAGCCTGGCAGATTCAAAAGTACGCTTTTTCTTACTTTTGCTGTAAGTTCCACTAGCTATTAGCCTTCGAACTTTTAAATATTCCTATCTCTGTGGTTCCGAGGTTTGGAGCTCTGCCCTGGATCTGCTCTGCCTGGTATTCTGTGGTATTTCTGATGACGACCCTCACTGCATCTCCACCCTAGCCGCCATCAAGCCCCACCTCTCCGGTAACCACTATTTTAAATCATTGTTATCACTAAATGGATGAAAAACTTTTTAACGGAACCAGTGTCTGAGGAACAGAAAGCATGAAAAGGTATTACAAATAATAAATGTAAACATTAACAGTTACTATTTGGGATCTCATTTTTATCAGATATATGTTGAGTGCTGTCGAGTCGATCCCGACCCATATTGACCCTGTATAGGGTTTCCAAGGAGTGACTGGTGAGCTTGAACCACTCACCTTGCGATTCAAACGACTTTGCAGTCTGGCGCATTAACCCACAGCGCCACACCAGGACTGTTGTTGTTGTTAGGCGCCATCAAGTTGGTGCCGACTCATAGCGACCTTATGCACAGCAGAATGAAACACTCCCCAGTCCTGGGCCAACCTCACTACTGTTGCCACGCTTAAGTCCATCGATGCTGCCACTTGGCCAATCCATCTCGTTGGGGGTCTTCCTCTTTTTCTGTGACCTTACCAAACATAATATCCTTCTCCAGCGTCTGGTCCCTCCTGACACTATGTCCGAAGTATGAGAGACGAAGCTTAGCCATCTTGGCCTCTAAGGAGCACTCTGGCTGCACTTCTTCCAAAACGGATCTATTGGTTCTTTTGGCAGCCCATGGCACTTTCAATATTCTCCTCCAACACCATAACTCAAAGACTTCAATTTTTCTCTGTTATTTAATTAGAGCTTTATTGAGATGGATTGGCACAGTGGTGGTAACAGCAGTGGAGTCAAGCGTGGCAACGATTGTGAGGTTGGCTCAGGACCAGGCAGTGTTTCATTCTGTTGTGTATAAGGATGCTATGAGTCAACATTGATTGAACTCAATGGCACCTAACAACTATATGAGGGTGCTTCAAAAAGCTCATGGGTAAAATGGAATGAAAAAATTAACGACATTTTTTCATGAACTTTATATTTTTGTGGCTGTTGTTGCTGCTTTTAACAAACAGAAATGTACTCACTCACGGTTTAGGAGTCTGAGTTTACCTCATCGGCTCTGGGAAAAGGTCCTTGTCTTCCTCCAGCTCCTGCAGGTTTAGCATTCCCTGGATAACTCTGTATGTCTCAGCATCAGTCTCTCCCTGGATCTGCATGGACCCCAAGTTCAAAGGACACACTCCACTCCTGGCACTTCCTTCCTGGTGGTAGTAGGCCCTGTCCCAGGGACTTTTTGAAGGTCCCTTGTGTCAGGATGCTGCTACATTTCAGTAATAGAACACTCAGGCTAGCTGGCCCATGCAACAGGGAGACAGATTCTCTTGATAGCCAGACATACGCAGCTAGGGCACGTTCTGCCTTCACTTTTCTGAGCATCCCTACTTTCTGATTTATTCTGAATGTGTGATGACTTTTCCCTGCTTCAGGTTGGCAGCAAGATGACTGAGTAGTTCCAGCCACCACGAGTCGGAGGATGAAAAGGTAACTTCTCTTTCTTGTGACTTCCTTACCTCCATTCTAACCAGTTGCTCCACCACTCATCTGTCAGTTTGTCATACCGTCGTAGCTTGCATGTTGTTGTGATTCTGGAAGATATGGCAGTGGTGTTTTAAATATTAGCAGGGTCACCCATGGCGAACAGGTTTCAACTGAGCTTCCCAACTAAGACAAACTAGGAGGAAGGGGAGATTCCGATGTAAAGTGACCCCATGTGTTTCAGAGTAGAACTGTTTCTAATGAATGGCTGCTATCTTTTGGAAAGAGATAGACAGACCTTTCTTCCAAGGTGTTGCTGACTGGATTCAAATCTTCAGCCTTTCAGTTAGTAGCTAAGCACTAGCCATTGGCACCACCCAGGAACTCTGACAGTGTAGTGGTTACGAATCGGGCTGCGATCCTTAAGGTCAGCGGTTCGAAACT